GGTGCCAGTGGAGAGTAACCAGTCCATGGAACAGGTGCAGTTGCAGTTGCGGGCTACCTTGTAACAGCACAGGGCCCAACCACAGGACTCCCGGCTGTACAACACTTCTGTATTGAACAGGCGCACTGTTAAGGGACGATCGACGACGCTGGCGCAACCGCCGCCGCCGTCATCACTACCGGCACCACCACTCACACCACTACTGCCACTGCTGCTGCTGTGGCAACTGATCTTCTCGGATCCAACATCAAAGGCATCCTTCAGCACGGAGGCTCCCACACTCTCGGTGGACGGACTGTGTTGTTCGACCTGCAAGTAAGGTAAGTTGGCCGTGGGCCATGCATGCTGTTTCTTTAAACCCAGTCGCCGTTTATCAAGAAAGTCCAGAAAAAGGCCGCCGCCTGTTGGAGTGGAGGATGTGGCCGTCACCATCGTAATATTATCGTAATCATCGTCGTCTTGAATGACACGAGTGCTGGACATCCAACTGGCGTCCGGGCCCTCATGACAAGGGTTGCGAGCAGTGTTGATGCGTCGAGTGACTGACTTCGAGAAGTAAATTGATGTCAGGGTGGCTGGGGGGATCATAGTGTGGATGCTGCGATCGTAGGCAGAAAAGGGCAATTCACCACGCTCGTGAGCGATGATGGTGAAGGTGGCGCCACGGGGCACGTCTTCACTAACAGTATTGGTGGCGATGGCTGCAGTGGTCATGTTCTGGGTGATCTCCACTTCAAGGTCTGACCACGCGTCATCAGGCTTGCCTGATGACAACTCAAAAACGGTGCATATGAAGCTGATCTTGTGCGGGACCTGGTAAAATGTAGAAATATTTAAAAAAACATTTAAAGTGGCCTGAGACACCTGGGTGATGCATAACGCCGCAGGAACTTTTAATTGCAAATTAAGCAATGTAGAACTAAACTCTGATGATCTACATCATAATGTGTCCACGCTGCCTACCAAGAAACCCAAAAGCCTAAGTAAGTAAGAAATATAAGTAAACTTCTGCGCTTGTTTATAACGCGGTATTGTGCTGTGAAAATTTGGTAAGCATAAAATGTCCAAATTTGTCACACACAATCAAAAGTAATTAAGTAAGAAATATAAGTAAACCCTGTGTTTGTTTAAAAGGCGATATTTTACTGCAAAAATTATTAGATTATTTAGACAATTTCTAGGACCTAAACTAGGCTTCCACTTTTGTTTATTTAGCTTATGTAGCCCCACTCATATACCCCTAGTCCCCGCATTTTGTCCTGCAAAGCGGCGGTTATAGTTTTTGGGGGCAGGAAAATAGCACAGGCAGAAAAGGACATTTTTCGAAGTAAGTGTAAAGTGAAAAAACTGTAGTCGAAGTTGCTTCCCGCGGCTTCTGGGAGAAAGTTGTTCTGCATGCAAATTGAAGGTCTACTCAGCGCTTAGCGCCGCGGACCATACTAATCTTACTCCAGAAAGGTAAGTTAGACCATGGATAATTTT